AGACAGAATTCTGGCTGACTGGAACCAGGTTAGATGCTGGTCTCTAAGAGGTGGCTTTATTTGTAGTCACAAGGTTAATACTTAACAAGGAATGCTCAGGATCATGTTGGTGTACTCTGAAGTGTAATCTAAACTGGATTTCCTGGGTTGTAATTCTTAGTTTGGTTTAACAATTACCTGGCAGTGTTTATAACTTTAAACTGCTGATACTAACTCTCAAGTATAACCCCAGTTTAATTCCTTTTTTGTCTTGGAATAGAGAGAAGAATTACTAGGAATCTGTGGCATACAGCAGAAATGAGGTTTTACATCCTTTGGTGTCTGCAAATGGTGTCTTCTGATTCAGCTCTTCTTCCTAGGAACATTTCTGATTCCTTGTAGATTTTTGGTTTGTACCAGTATCCTGCAGCAACTTTTTAATTATATTAGATGATGTGGTAAATGTCATTCTTGTGGAGTGACAGTGTAAAAATCAGAATAAGAAGAATAAATAGATAAAATTAAGGAGGTTGTAGGTATTCTTTGCCTTTCACAGTAGCTAAAGACACTGATTTATTGGTTTGTTGCTATGGTAGAAGTTTCTCAGTGGGCAAGAAACCCGATGGAGGGAAATCTTTCAGCTTTTCTAGATAATTCAGTGCCTCTGAAAAGCTGATGATGAAGGCATGTGAAAGGGAAGAAAGCATGAAGACAGGGCTGAGTAAGGCAGGCTGGAACACTTGATTGAATTGTAGCTTTGCACTGGCCAGTTGCAAATCAACGAGCAAGCTGCACAGGTCAAGTCTGAGAGTCAGAGCATCCTCCCAGCAAACCAGACATATCCAGGACTGCGTGTCTCTGTCACACCAAGGTCAGCAATGTGAATGCTCTGTCACTATATTGTGTCGCTTAGGACAGTTTTACTTCTTTATGAGACTTCCATCTCACACCACCAGTAAATGCAGCTAATGCAAAGAGCACACTAGAAGCTTTGTTATGTGGGGAGTTAACTGTGAAGTGAGCTGGGGTGTGATTTCTGCATGGGCTTATTGCAGTGCTGCACTTTCATAGCAGAATGAATCGTTGCACATATCTTGTTGGTGAGAGTTTTCTCAGAGGGCTTCTCCATAGCACCTAGAGTGCTACAAATTAATCTTTAGATCTTGGTGCTCTTTCAGCAGAGAAAACAAAGTACAATTTTGTCTCTCTCTAGTGGCAATACAAAAGTTAAAACCACTTTGAGAGGAGCATATGCATATGAAAATTTCTGTAAAAGCCTAAGCATTTCTCTTGAGACTTTCTTTTCTGAGGTTATTATTACCAGAGACGTGGCATAGCTCGTGGGGTAGACACTGTGTTATGACTCATGGTGTAGACACTGTGTAGACTATGTGTCCATTCATTGTATATGGACATCTTTCATAAAATGTAAAAGGCAACAGTGAAACTTGTAGCAAATACTGTATGTCTGGAACCTGTTTCGAGTCTTCCTTTTCTGGGGGGATAAATGCTTTGGCTGGGATTTCTGTGCTTATATGCAAATATTGAAATTGACTTTTTCTTACAAACGTTTTTCCTTCCCAATTTAATCAGAAACTTCCTGAGCCTGAAGCAGAAGATAGCAGATGTACTAGACAAAAATATATTTGGAAAACAAAGGACAGATGTGCAGAGTTAATGGATACCTAAGTTGGAGATTCACTGCTTTCCCAGGTGAGCAAGGCTGCAGGAAACAGGATGTTTGTCTTGTTTAAGTGTGAAATATCAAAGCTGCTGAAATATATACCCAATCTTTTAGTGAAAACTGCTAATAAGAGAGTAGGAATGTTACTTATGTGAGTGTGATACAGGTATGAATGTCTGCTAGACAAGTCTCTCGGCAAGAAATTTGACAGCCTCAGGGTGCACTTTGTGACAGGCCTCTCAAATTAAATGGATTTGTTGGCCCAAATGGTGACATTCCCAGCGGAGCAGCTTCCCCACCTCCCATGACCATTATCATGTTTTCTGTGCTGATTTAAGCCCTTTCCCTTTCATTATCCAAATGCAAAAGCAAGTGTAAGTGGACAAAGTGCTTCATAAAAACTCTAGTCCCCATTATCATTCTTTCAGAATAAACTAATAATTTTTAGCTAAGAACTATGCATTAGGAATGAGTCCTCAGTTCTTAGAGGTGAATCACTTCCAAACAAATTGAGGGTTTTGCTTTCTTTTTTACCTCAGATGAATCATTACCTGTCTTCTGGAAACTCTGTGATGGCTTTAGGCTGCAAATTTTCAATTTTTTTTCCCTTAAGTTTCTTAGCACTCTGTCTTTCTTATTCTCTTGGTGCAAAAAGAAATCTCTGTAGTCTCACTTAGATATACCCAGTGTCATAACTGGGATATAAAGCCCAATATATGAAAAAGCTGTTACAGGTACTCACCTGAGCAAAAAGAATGGATCAGACCACACTGGATTGACTTGGAAAGAGAACATTTAGTGGCCTAGAAGCAGTAAGATCCTCAGTGAATTTTTTTAGTAGAAAATGTTGCCTTTGCAAAACTATTATTTCCCCGAGAAATCTCAAATGAAAGTTGCTGCCCTGCCCTGATAATTAGTGCTCTCTTAGAGCTGGCAGAGGCTCTGTGAGCCAAGCATAGAGGCAGGGAGCTCAGACAGTGGCTGCTGCACCCTGACCCTGGGGAAGTCATAGCTTCTTCACACCTCAGCCTCTCTGTTTCTAGAAGAATATCACTGGCTGTAAATGCTGGAGAAGCCTAGGGAAGAGGCTTGGGAGAAGAAGGAATGCCTGAAATGCTTTTAACTTAGTATCTTCATACAGTTTTAGCTATGCTTAATTTGATCAACTGTCTCTCTCTTCTAAGCAACATGCTATTGCTGAACCAAAATTTCCTAAATTTGCTATTCATCTCTCTACTCTCTGCCAGCACTTTAAATGAAGTTACAGTGCAAGTTACTTTATGATCTGTTGGTCAGAAGGGTAACAAACAAATAAGAACAGGCATACTTAAAAATGGAAAAAAACCTGAGTAACAGGAAGCATAGAACTGGAGGTGAGCTTCTAGCCTCAATTCTAGCAGTATAAGCCCAAAGTCATGTCAGTAAAACTAATGGAGCTGCCTCAATCTATAGAAATGCAACAGAGATCAGTTTCCTCATGTGCTTTAGCATTTTGTGCCTCCTGAGGTGCCCAAAAAATCCTTGTTCCCTACGTTCAGGCATTACCAGTTAAAGCGGAGGCCTTGTTGGCATGGCCCACTGCCTTGAAATGTAAAATAAAACTTCAGCATCAGTGATATTTTCTTCTATTATTTGTTAACTCTGCTTCCAAAAGGAGTCTGAAATCTCAGTGGTAAAGCCTCCGTGTCTATTGAAGTGCAGTTAGTTAAGGAGGTTATGAGGATTCAGTGCCTGCTGGCAGGGAGGCTAGTCAGATACTCAAAATTTACTGAGGGAGTCAGTGGAAATGGCAATTGATATGGAAAGAGAATTCTTGCTGGAATATCCTGGTGGGTTTTATTTTCCTGCACTGAGCCATAATCAGGACAAGGCTAGTGTAAATGCATAGTCCGTGTATCCTCAGAAGTTTGGCTGAATAGCAAAAAGTCTCAGTGAACACCAGCACACACTTACATCTATGTCAGGCCAATGTTTCCCTCCTCAGCAACTGGACTTCTTTGATACAATTTCAAACTTTGATACTGTGACTTCAAAAAAGTTAACTTCTACAGGGTCTCCACATGCAAAGCTGCTTGCTAAGGGAAGAATCAATACATGGTTTGTGAGTTATCCTTCTAGAAAGCAAGCAGGGGAAAGACAGTTCAAAGCCTGGGATTATTATCTCTGCCTAGAAGATATACTGCAAGGATCCAGCCCAACATGAATAGGATAACTAATGGCTTTGGTTGTCATAATCCTCATCACTCAGGAAGATGCTAGCTGGCCACAAGGGTAGGGTACGGGTGGTGGCAGCAGTGGGGGTCTCCCAAGGCAGTGAGCTGCTTCTCTCCAGGCAGGATGCCTTTTGGCATTCAGGTTATCTAGTACCTAGTTTATCCTCATGCCTGGGAGCACTGGTGAGAAGTAACTGACTGGCATATTAGGCTCCTGCTGGTGGATTATTTTTATTGCCTTGTTTGTTTGGGAAGTGGTAATGCTCACCTAGCTCTGAGGTCCAAAAGGTTGCTTTCCCCTGGTTTCCTATGTTGGTGGCTGCTGCTTTAGGAATCAGGGCTGTTCTTATCTTGTCCCCTAGTAAGGTGAAGGTTGTTCCTTCAGGTTCTTGTGTTTGCCAGTATGTTGGACTCAGGATTTTTGTTTCATGTTCTTGTTTGGTTTGGCTCTGTTCATGAAACTAGGTTTGTAACCAAGCAGAAAGGAAGAGATATGTGAAAATCCTGCAAGCAGGAGAGGAGCTGGTTAAGATGTCTGGAACTGGGATAATTAATTAATCTTGAACTATCTAGTACTTGAGTTAGTGGCAATATTAGTTAGAAGTGTGATGGAGTAGGCATAAGACCTGTAACTAAAACAAGCATTGCACCTTGTAGAGCAAGTCAGCCAGTGGAGGAAAGGGATGGAGATCTTGCTGTACCCATGTTATCCTAAAGCTGTCTTTGGATTTAGAGTTACAGTAATTTAATTTTTTTTAATAGCACCTGTATATCTAAACCTGACAGGCATGCATATATGTGAGCACAAGCACGTGTGATCAGGGCAAGGGAGGCAACAGAATTTAGTCTGGAGCTTTTCACCATAAGCTCTAAGTCTCTGTTTCTCAGCAGCCCAAGTCTGTATTTTTTCAAAATAAAGAGGAATCACATCCAAAGAGATATGCATCACCATTTATAGGAAATAATTCCATTTCTTTTTACCCATAAATACTAACACAGAACATTATGGAAGGAAATTAAAAAAAAAAAAGTTAGAAGAAGTCTCCTGGCAATGGACTTAGCTTTGTCTTTTATGAAATATTTTCAAATCTGGATATTTAAAGTATATTGCTTAGATAAGTAGTTCAGGACCCTGTACTCTCCATGAAAGCATCTTCACACATCGTCCCAAGTAACCAAAATGCAGCACATGGATCAAGGCTTTCACATGGCTGTTTTTTCACTGTTTTTTTAATGGGTCTTCGAAGGACTCCTTTAAAACAAAGTAATAACACACCCCATCGAGACAGCAGTTCAGATTTGCCCAGCAAAGCGTGGCCTGAACAATATCTCGTAGCACTTGCTGAAAACTGGTGTGAATGATATTATTCTTCACCAAAAAGTACAGAAAGTATGCCACGTGGTAAGGTGTGAAACAGACCAAAAATGCCACAAGGTTTGTCACCACTATCTTCTCTGCTCTAGTGGTGTGTGTTTGGGGGTCACCTAGTTTTCTGTGCTTTCTCAAACACCTGATGGCCTGAACAGTGCAGAAGGTCATGGCTGCCATGCTGCCAAAGAAGGTAATCTCCAAGGCACTGAACAGGCCTGTGTTTTCCCATGTGCTCTTGGAGAAGTTATGGAAGCAGGATGAGATGTTGTGGCCCTCTCCATGCAGTTGGAAAGTAGACACTGTCCCAGCTGAGACGCCCAGGCAGACAATAGCACAGACCATAGCAGCTTTCCTGGTGGATCTCAGGGTGGGAGCTGTGAAAGGGTGCCGGATGGCGATGTACCGGTCCACACAGATGCAGAGGGAGATGAGAATGCTGCCATACATGTTTACAAAGTAAAGACTCTCCAAGGTGGAGCAAAACACAGACCCCAATTTCCATTTGTTCTGAAGGTGATAGGAAATGATTTTAAAAGGAAGAGTAAACAGCAGCAAAGTATCCAGGAAGATAAGAGCTATCATGTAGACTGTGGATTCTGACAGCTTTTTAACCTTAAAAAAAAAGAAGGACAGAGCCATCCCATTGAATAGCAACCCGAGGATGAATGTGGGGGTGTACATGATGAGCTGGAACAGTTCCACGGTAGCACTGATATTGCTGCTATTGCTGACGCGGGTGTCATTCATATCTCCAGTTGTACTGGAAGAGAAGAAAACCATCTTCACCACAAGGAAGGCTGAAGATCACATTAAAAACCCAGTACAAAGGCTAGTGAGGTCTCTGTGTGTCCATGACCTTGAGAGGCTTTTTCCTCTTGGGCTGCTGTGAGCTGAATTGTAGCTCCTAGTAACGTGGAGCTTCTCAGTGCCAAGGCACGCTGGGGCAAAGTTGTGTCTCAAGTCAGAGCAAGGCTTTCTGGGGTCCCAGCCTCACCTGTACTGTTACTGTTCCCTCAAACTCTACTGCCCTATAATTTAGGCTGGGCAGAGTACAGATGTGACTGCTCCATCCCCTTGGAGTGATGCTATCTCTTTGCAAAGAGATGGTGGGGATGGAGGCAATTAGTTGGATGAGATTTCCTGAATCAAGCTGTCATAAGAGACCTTGGGGAGCCAAGAGCATGAGGGTCCCCCATATTTATTACTGTGAAGATCCCAAATGGGTTGTTGCCATCCTGCACTCTCTCCCACCACCACTGGGCAAAGAGGGGCTATGACTAGCTCTGGCCCTTTTGAAAAGCTTGCTGAAAGGAGTTTCAATGAGACTTTTTCTAGCAGAGGTTAAATCTTTAAAGGAAGAATGAGATTTAGGAACCCAACCCTTTGCCTAAATTAGCCAGACTTACCACAGTGGTTAAATTTGTATCTGCAGAGACGGGAATTGAAGAAAACATGCAGCTGGTTCTTCTCTGCAAAGAGGGGACTAAAAATGTCAAGGTAGCTACACTCTGAGCAGAGGTCATGAATTCTCTTCTTTAGAGGAAGGGTGTTGGTTTGATCCTGCCTTCAGACTCTCCTGATAAGGACCGGGAAGGCTCTCTTTTGTTCTTGCAATGCTGGTCTTGGCTGGAATCGCTTTAGTATGTAAATGCACAGGAGTACCTCGTCCTTTCTTCCAGCCAGTTCTGTCATAGCAAATGTAATGTGTAAATAAAGGGGTTTATGTCAGAGCCAACATATTACTTTAATCTGCTGTTCTGTAATCGTTACTACTTAGACCAAATACTTCTCCTACATGTGTTACTGATCTTGATGCCATTTCATTTCAGATTTGTCAATCGGTTGTCAACTGTGCAGTAAAAGTTCCTGTTCTGCAGATCAAGTTGCTCCTTCAGTGCTTCAGAGGTAAGCTCTCCTGTGCTGAGGTTTGGGAGGGATCAAGATCTCTGAGAGAGAGTGCACAAAGGAGAGTAGCAAAAAGGAAATTAATTTCTTACTTAAAAACTAGCAATTATTGTTAGGATGCGAGAGCAGGCTGGCTCTTTGCTCCTTAAGGACACACTGATGCCAGGCAAATGATCCTGTAAGTTACTAGTTTGTGTTATAGAAGTGAGAAGACCATCTCCAGAAACCCTGATGAAGAGAGCAGGGTGCTGGCAGGACTGTGGGTGCAGGCAGCAGAGGCTCTGGCAGGGTCAGGTGCAGGCATAGACCCGCAGCTGGTGTCCTGCTGTAGCAGGTACAGGCTTTCCTGGGTCTGCAGTGGGGACAGCAGATGACAGCCTCCTGCCTGTCAGAGCAGCCAGGGGGTTGCAGCCTGGCACCAGCACCTGCTTTGCTGCCAGCTGTGAGGGGCTGATGGAAGTCTGAGGGGAAATAATAAAATTCCCTCAGCCAAATAAAAAAGGACAGGAAAGCTTGATCTTGTGAAGCACTTTAGGATCTGAGTGGCTGCAGAGGAGAAGCACACCTGGTTGTGTTGCAGGTTGGTCACTGCCTGGGAGTCAAACTCCCCCGGCAGCCATGGGGTGGGGAGCTTGGTGGCAGCTGGGCTTAGCTCCTGCACCTCTGGGTTCAGGTGCCCCAAGACAGATGATGGGTTCCACTGGCAACCTGGGCAGAGATACTGCCTGGTACAGGAGGGTGGCCTAGGCTGGCAAGCCATGTGCTGCTCTCCTGATGAGTCCCCTTCATCAAGTGGAGCACTGAAAGCCTAACCCCCAGAGGGAACCCTTTACTGACAGAAAAAGGGATGAAAAGTTAATTAAAGAATTACTGAAAAGTAATAAATACTAGAAAAATTTTACTGTATTGCCTCTGGATGAGATTTCCTTAGTGTCCCCGCTCCCCCCCTTTTTTTTTAAATAGCATATCTAGGAAATCCTAGGTATAGACGAATAAAATGTCAGGTTCTTACCAAAATTTTTATTTTGGTAGCTAGCATTTTATACCAGAATCTGTTCTGTTGAGTTTTAAACAAAACAGAAAAAATTATTTTGCATTTATATGCAAAGGGCTGCTCTGTTGATTCTTAAAAATAATATGTAGATATGCTATAAGCAAAACAATTTATGTAAAATCTACTTAGTTTTTAGATCTTGTAGCAAGAAGAAAGCTTTTAAGGCAAGATTTCACTGCAAATAAATATTCTCCCTTATCATCTTACCTTTGAGCTGTCTCTAGCTTGGGTTGTTGCTTTTTTTCTCCTCAGCTTGTAGAATTCTCTAGTCTTGTGTTTTAAGGCGGTGGAGTGAGCTGCATGCAAAGTAACTGCTGGTCAGGATGTCAGGAAGCATGAAGTGCTCACCACACCGTGTCTGCATACACACACTACATACATAGTTGTCACACAGAGCTCATTTAAGGCTGTAAATATATGGGTTTGTGGGGCTCTGTGAGTCACCCATTCAAAACAGGCTTCAGTAATAGAGAATGAAATTCTGGTCCTACAGACTTTTCTCTTGATGTTTTTTCTACAAGACATGATTTTATTCATTGTGTGAAAAATCTGTGGGTGGAGTGTTAGTTGTCAAAATGTGCTTTACGGTAAATCCTGAGCATTGTTTCCCTTAATGTTCATGCTACCAGTTCTCATGGTTTCCCTTACTTTTAATTATACCAAAGAGGAAAAAGAAACAATTGTTTTTCAGTGGTGGTCTTGTATGTTCCCTTCCAGTTGTTATTTTAAAAAGAGACAAGAGTTACTCTTAAATATGGTTATACTCTTAAGGAGCAGGGAATATACCCAGATTTTATATATACCCAGGGAATATACCCTCCTGATTTTATTCAGGAGGGAAGGTGAAAATATTTTTTTTTGCCTGTTGTATGTGTGTTTGTAATCTTCGTACCAAAGGGAGGAAGAAGTAGAGGGGTAGTTTTTCTTGCTCCTTTGCATATGTCTTGAATATCAGAACTGAGGATTATTTTGGCTGAATTCAGACTGTGCATCTGTGAAGGAGAAGGCACACAAGAGACCAGAGAAGTGGTACTTCAGGTTTCCATGCGGTATTTTAGTTGAAACGACTCTACTTAAGGAAAAAATAAAAATAAATAAAAAATAAAATAATTTTTTAAAACCTGTCACCAAGGGGAAAAATCATGATTGAAGTTCGGAGTGAGCAAGACCTCAACACATTGCTCAGCTAGGTTTCACTTCTCTGTATCCAGTTGGTGGTCTTGTGACTACGACTGCCTGCAGTCTCGGTGAGCCAGAACTGGGATAAAATGTCCCATCACCAGATTTATGCAGTGACTATGCAGAGCCATTTCTTACGGAGTTGCTCCATCTCGTGGCTGCAGGAGAAACGAGAAACACGGCTTCAGCCCTGTGATGTCTCTATCTGTGGTTGAGAACCAGGAGGAACAGCTTATCCTGTAGCTCAGACAGCTTATGCCACAACTGTCCTCCACCAGCTGAGCACTGCGTTCCTTGTTTGCACCGGCCTCTGTTTGCTCCCCACGTTCCAGACCACAGATAGCCAAGGAGTGATGAGAAAACTGAGCCAAAAGCTCTGATAGTCATGGCCAAATGTTTCAGCACAGCAACAGCTGAAATAGAGCTTTTTCTGTAGAGGAGGTGACCCTAAGTAATGCCTGAGGGTTGCTGGTGAGGCTGAGGGGCCAGGGCCAAGAAGCTGCTGGGCTGGTACATAGGTCAGACCCCAGGTCTGGAGGTCTCACTGGCATTTTTTGTCCTCTAGAAGGACTCTGTAGCTTGAGGGAGACACCAGCAAACCTTAGCTCTGCACCGGGGACTATGTCCCAGCAGGGGAGGGTCCTTTCAGTGCTGGAGGAGCTAAATCTGCTGCTTGGGAGAGCCCGTGAGCTGATTTCTCTTTTAGAGTTCTGACACATTTAGTTTGGAAGTGATCTGGTATTTGTTGAGAGGCATGTCTCAGTTTCCACAGAGAAATCATCTGAGGATGCTCCCTATGGGACTTCTGAGGCCAGGTCAGCAGGGTGGGTATTTTCTGTGCCAGTTTTCTGAGACTGGTGAAATTTGAAACCGGTGAAATGTAAATAAACCCAAAGGAAAAGAAACTGTTTTCCCCCAGTCTTCTACTACATTCTGATCTAAAGCCAAAATAATTCAGGCATTCATTCTCCGACATCCTCATACTGCTAACTCTCAAGCTGCAGCACCAACGGCAACAATTTGGTGGAGATCTCTCTCTGTGTCTTGCACTTCAGCTTTATTTACTTTCATTTAATCTGACTGCGCAGAGCAGGCATTCAGCAGAGCCCTGCCTACCACATTGCAGCCTATGCCTCTTTCCAGCCTAATGACTGAGTCATTTCACACGTCTTAGGTAGTTTTATCATTTTTTCCTACTCAAACCATTAGCTACACTGATCTTCAACTCATAATTACCTTTCAAAGACCTGAAGCAGCATTTTCCTAAAACAGCTATTTCCCAAGAGGTCATCTAAACCTCCAAAATGTAAGACACCCGTCCTCCTCCAGAATGAAGAGACAGGCACTTCAGCAGAAAAAGAACATAAAAGTCATTTTAGGGAAGAGAAAAAGTGTGTCCAATATGGCATCCTGTTTTTGACTGAAGCCAGCAGTGGATGTTTAGGGGAAGAGCATAAGAAACTGTATTCCCATTGCTGAGGGTGCTTCCCCAACCAAATTGTATGGTACTACAACTTGAATTTTCCAGTGTTTAGTAGAGCTAGTTTATTAGTTAGAATTGCTTAACAGAAAAAGCAAGTAGGTTGCCAGCTGAATCATGGTTTCTGGTCTTCCTCAGGTAGCAAAAAATGAAAGGCAGCAA